TGGGGGACAAGGCTCCAATCTATTCGTGGGGAGCAACACGTGCTGGGAACCGGGCCCAGTGTCCCATATGGAAATTTACATCGAATTTTGAAAGTTTGAGATACCAGGGCCATTACCCGGCTTTGACTGAGAGAACTTTGAGAGAATTTTGAGCTACTTTGCCCACAACAAAACATGCATGCCACCACAGAGCTCCTACAAATGCTCAAAGCCTTGTGGATCCCTAGCAATCCTTCTAAAGCTCTCCAGCACTGTCTTACTCCCTGCTGAGCTCTTCCAGGCCACCAACTTCGTGAACTTAGAAATCAGCAATGAACTTGCACTGGCAACATGCGCCCACACAGAAAACTCAGAGATATGGCCTCTGGCCAGAAACTCAGCTCAAGTCAACTGTTACAACTTGCGGCTATGGCCGCCAAACACTGTCTGAAGTCCCAGCCGAACACTGTCTACACCATCATCCTCACTCTACCTCACGTACACACTCAAGGATCCACCCTGAATGTCCACACTTCACACACACACACACACTGTACACTCTGCTGACGTCAGCAGCTTGGCGGCTATTGCCGGCGTCGTCTTCCTCCTCTTAGCTATGGCCGCCTGAGTCTCCCTCAGCCCCCTTCAGTTTCGGGCACCTGCAGACCTCCCTTGCACAAGCCGCTCCAGCAGCGCTTCCGCATGGCACTCAGGCGAATGAATCCATGGCAGGGCGCTGGCACTTTATTTATACTGGTTCGTGGGTAGGCCCGGCCTGCTGTGCCCCTGGTCCTGGGCCCCAAACCGCGTGGGCCTGAGCCCAAACCGCGTGGGCCTGGGGAGACCCAAACCGCGTGGGCCTGGCGAGGCCCAAACCACGTGGGCCTGAGAGGCGCAAACCGCGTGGGCCTCTGAGCCCCAAACCACGTGGGAAACTGCGTGGGACACCACCCTTGAAACGGTATTCACCAATTCGTGGTAGCTGAGACAGATCCCAGGGCTCGATCCCTAGTTTCCCAACTTACCTGTGTACAAT